CCAAGCCAAAGCCTAAACCTTAGCTTAGAGTGAAGACTAAACTTTAACTAAGATTCTAGTCTACACCTCATTTCCCCTATCCTACTAATTTTATTTATATTCAACCAATTCATCTAAGACTAAATCTTACCATAAACTTAGACCATACCTAAGCTTAGGCATAAACCTTAACGTCAATCTAGACTTAAGCCTATACCCCTTGAGCTTAAGACTTAAATCCTAAGCTATGCCTAAGCTTAAGTCCTAGCTTAAGCCTAAGTCTAAAATTTAACCTATACCCAAACTCAAACCTTAACTTAGACTTGAGCCTATACCCTTTGAGTCAGCTCTCCCTAGGTTTATTCGGAATAGAGCAAAGAATATGCACGAGCTAGGAGTACAGTTCAGATCTGCCCCAACATACGACAACCCGGAAGATGTCGGCTCCTGAGGATGTCTACTAGAAGAACTCCAAGCAAATTCGTGCTGGTGGAACAGGCCAGAATGATTATCAAATAATGAAGCTGAATGGCCCGAAGACTTCGAGGTAACACGAGAAGTAACAGAGGAAGTGCGACCTGTACAGACGCAACTGGTAACAAACTTCCTGGTCAATAATGACCAAATTGGAGAAGTCACTAACGTCACTAGTTACAGCAATTTACAGAAAATAGAGTCAGTCACATTAGCAAAATACTACTTCTAGCAAATAAAGCAAAAAAGAGGTCCCGCGGTGCAACACAGTGTTTTAAAACAAAAGACAATAAACACAATTATAAGACTAGCGGACCATCACGCCAGTGGAAATTCAGAGATGGCAAGTGAGGAAAGATGAGGAAGGCATCTACAAAACGCATGTAAGGCTGGACAACATCCCATGTAGAATTCCCTGAGTATATTTACCCTCAACCACCATATTACACATATGATAATATTACAGTACCATGTACACGGAAGTCCACGGAAGTCCACGGAAGGGTAAACCTAGTGCTAAGCAACCTACGACAAGATTATTGGCTACCCAAGGGGAGACAGGCAATCAAGAAAATAATAAAAAGGGACTTTTATGGGTGTAGGATATGGAGTGCGAGACCATTTAGGTTACCACCAATGCCAGCACTACCAGTCGACCGCGTGACACCTTCAAGAACAATTCAGCACATTGGGGTGGTTTATTTCGGGCCTATACTAGTAAAGAAAGATAGCTTAGTTCAGAAGAGGTGGATATGTTCATTTACATGTCTAGCAATTAAAGCCGTTCACCTGGAATGCGTTACTAGTCTCTCAGTCGAGGACTTTAAGCACATTCTTTAGCGCTTTTTAGCAGTAAGGGGTCAACCAGAGACAGTTACCTCTGACAACGCCACACAGTTTACAGCAGCGGCCAAAAAAAATAAAATTACTTGTAGATTTATTGCAGCGCACGCTCCTTAGAAAGGAGGATTTTACGAAAAGCTGATAGGTTTAACCGAACAGAATCTGAAAAAGGCAATAGGCAAAAAATTGGCGTAAGCCACAGAACTAGAGCAATTAGCCAGCGCCAAAATGGAGATATGAGGTGAAGCAAAGATTTTAGTCGTCTTGACAACTGATGGCATCGACAGGCCTAGCTTTGCCCTTACAATTACCGGCAAGTAATTGGCTCTTATTCATCGCTCGTTCACTGTAGTTTAGTCGACCGGTGTACGCTTTATCGGTACAGGAATTTCATAATAAATGGCCAGCAGTGGGCCACGAGTTTGACCGAGTGGAAAGACAAGAACTTGAACTAATGTTGTGTAAAGTGGTTTAAAATACCAGTTGCTCATCTACCGTATACTTGTTGCTTTCACCTGAATCGCTGCAGTAATCGCAAGCATTTGGAAAAGAAAATTTATGAAGTTCAAAAACAAAAAAAAAACACTTGTTACAGTTTCTTTCT